GGGCTCCCTGCCCCTCCCCTCTCCTCTCCTCTCCTCTCCTCCCCAGGTGGTCGTGAACCCCAAGCACGAGGTGGCAGAGTCCGATTTCTCCAACAACGTCATGAGGTGCCAGTGCAAGTACGACGGGCACCGCATCTGGCTGCACGGCTGCCGCACAGGTACTGGGTGGGGCCCTGGGGGGGTCAGAGCGGGCGGGGCCCTGGGGGGGTCAGAGCGGGCGGGGCCCCGGCAGGGCAGAGCGGGCAGAGCAGTGCTCATGCCTGCCCCAGAAACGGGGCCCTGCGCGAGGCAGCAGGAGGGGCAGCCGGCCCAGCCCGGGGCCGAGGAGGGCAATGTACAGCGCTGTGCACACCCCCCTGGGGAGCAACCGTGGGCACAGAGCCTCCAGTGGACAGGCCCTGTGCCCCTTCCCCACTCAGCCAGGCAGGGGGAGGTGGGTCCCCCACTCACATGCGGGTCCCCCACTCACACGGGTCCCTCCTCTCCCCAGGGGACCAGTACGGCGCCGACGCGGTGCGAGAGCTGGAGCAGCAGCAGCGCCTGGCCACTAACCTCATCTGAAGCACGTGGGGTGGAGCTGAGCCGGGGGAGCCCCCAACCGCGGGCGTTGGGGGGCTGAGTGCTGCCCCCTGCACAGCAGCCGCAGGGGGCGGAGGCTGGGGTGGGGGGGTCACACTGTGTCCCTGGGCTTGGGCCTTCCTGCCAGCCCCGGGGCTCCCCCGAGAGCACCCCCACAAAGGCCCCCCTGTGCTGGGGGGGGCAGCTTCTCTCCTAGGCCCGTGCTGGGGTGGGCAGGCCAGGGCCCCCCCAGTCTTGCTTATTGTCCCACTGGTCCCTGCCTCCCCGGGCTGGGGCAGCCGTGACTGCACTCAGGGAGCCTTGGCATTTATTGGGGCTGGAGGGCGAAGGGGCTGGCGCTTACCTAACGCCCGGGGGGAGGGTACCACGACTCGCTCCAGCAGGAGCCTGCCTCCGCCACCCATCCCAGGCCGACTACCTCAGCCACCCCAGCTGCCAGCACAGCCCTGTGCCTGTAGGGCCCAGCCCCCTTGTCTCAGGAGCGGCCGCGGGCCTAGCACCACTTGTGCAAGCACTAGCGTGTCACTAATAAAGGTTTTGTGCAAGTCGAAGGCTGGTGTCTGGCCACGGGGGGGGGTGGGACGGAGTGGGAATTGTCCATATTTTGTGTGAATAGCGTGTGCGTGCCTCAGTTTCCCCTGGGGGGTGCCTGGTTAACTGGGGGGGAGGGGGTTGTTTGCTCTTTGCAGAGACCCAGAGTTACAGGTGGGACTGGGCCCCAGCGGTGTGGGGCCTGGGCCCAGCCGAGAAGGGCCCAGCCATTCGGTACCTAGCAACCGCTGCCCCAGGGCTCCCCCTCGGCAGGAAGCCAGCCAGGTTGGATCAGCTGGAGAATAATGGGCCAGGTGCCCAGGAGTTAGACCAAAGGATGGAGGAGGGGCCCTGGAAGCAGGAGTCACGTGGCTGGATTGGGACTCAAAGGGGGGCCAAGAGCTCTGGGCCTGACCCGGCTGGCCCAGGCCGTAACTTCCTGCTCTGGGTGCTACTCAAGGCTTGGCTCCACGTGTGGCAGCCCCACCTAACCCCCTGCGGGCAGCCGCTGGCTGCAGCCCTGCAGGGCAAGGAACCTGGGGGTGCCTGGCTCCCCTTGGGGTATCTCCCTGCTGGAGCCGCTGAGGGGGGTCGTGACCCAGGGGGGCTGTAGGTGCCGAGGGTCCCAGGAGATGGGGAAGCCCAGGGCCATACCCCAGTGAGTGGGTGGCCCAGTGAGGCTGACGCACTGAAGGGGGCTCCCAGGGGCTGTGCGAGCACCAGGGCTGGGGAGCCATGACAGGGGTGGGGGTGCAGCAGGCAGCCCTGCCCCCGCTGATACCCCACTGGGGCTTGTAGGGCAGGGGGTAAGGCTAAGGCCAGTGTGTGTGTGGGGAGGGGGGTAGCCGTGCAGCCTGTAGACCCCCCCCCACACACACACACACTGGCCTTAGCCTTACCCCCTGCCCCCAGCACCCAACCCATACACCCATGGCCCTGCTCATGCACCCCACCAGCTCCAGGGGGGGCCTACTGGGGGAACAAGGACACAGCCCCAAGAGCCTGGGGGGGTTGGGGGCCTCCACCACAGGGGAGCTGAGCCCCATTTAGCCCCTGTGGGCAACCCTGCCCCTCCACTCCCTGCGGCCCAGTGCAGGGTGCCCTGCGGCCAGGGGCACAGCGACGGCCCCGCACTAGTTACAGCTGCCATCCGTCAGCACCTGTGGCCAGAGTGACTCCAGCACTGCAGGGGGTGAGGAACCAGGGGCTGGGGGGCCTAATACCCCCTCCTCCCCCTGCTATGGGCCCAGTACCCTTCCCACTGCAGGGTGGGACAAACCTAGCTCTCAGCCCAGGAAAGGGGGGTTGGGGTCCTTCACCCCCACTCAGGGATGTGCCCGAGTCAGCCACAAGCCCTGACGCCG